TTTCTCTCTCGCGTGCCCTCTCTCTCTCTCTCTCTCTTTCTCTCGCGGTACACCGTCGTTGCATCGTTGCACCGAGCCAACACGTACATACACATCGGAGGAAGAGGAAGAGAGAGAGAGAGAGAAAGAGAGGGATAGCCTCGTAAATATTCCTGTTTATACGTCACCCACGTAATGCTCTGGCGCGCACGGAGTGCGAAGGGGGGATGGTTCGTATCGAGCAGCGCGAATCCTGAAATAGAACGAAAAGGCGCGTCTACGACGGCCGATACGTCGCGGGGGAGGGCGGACACGCCTGGACACGGTGAAATCTATCGAATTTCAAACGCGATCGTAAAAATGCAGCGGCGCCTCGGGATTTCCGATCGGGGCCGGCGAACCCCATCGACGATGTGCCGGCTACCGCGAGAAATGAAGGAGGAAACCCCTCCTGAGGAGGGACGAAATGTACACCGGTGTACACGGAGGCTGTCGAGGCGTTGCTTCGTTAATCAGGCAACATTTCTCTCGGGGGAGGGGGGGGGTTTCCCCGATGGGACGCGTAGCCGCGAATACCGCGGCTTCAATTGGCACGGACTACTTGCTCAGCCGTGAATAGTGTAATTTGCCACACAGATCCTTTTTGATTTTTTCCTCCCTGATTTATCCGGACCACCGGTATAATAATAATGGCAAAGTTCGATCCCTTTGTACACGTGCGTTGCGTTAATAGCGATTTGTTTGTTTAGAGAATAACAATTGTTCTCTCTCGCTTCGGTGCGTTCGATTTCCGAAATGCGCGCGTCAAAGGGTCGAGAGGGGGATTATTAATACGTGCAATTTTCAAGAGAGCTTACGCGCCTCGCGCTAACGCAGAGAATGACGAGGAGTGGCGCATTGGCGCGCGGCTCTTCCGACTGGCGGCGGAGAAAAACGGTAGTAACAACGGTGACGACGACGACAACGCCGGAACGGAGCCAGAGGAGCATTGTGCCGCTCGGTGATAAATCCGGCATCGCGTTGCGGCGGTGTGTACCTACCTATCTATCCAGCTACCTATCTACCTACCTACCTATCAACCCACCTACCCACCGGTGGAGAGATCAAGAAAGAAACGCGGAGGAGACCGAAAGGGATGACGGACGGAGAACGAGAGATTGGGTTCGCGAGATAAAGAGGTCGACAATAATACGCCCTCGGTGCACCCTCGGTCGCAGCAGGCAGCCATTATATTGTTTTATCTCTGTATCGCGACTGCAGATCGGCGAATGCACCACGGCGGGTCTTACACGCGGGAATATACGCGGGCCTTCGACGAGCAGACGAGGAAACTCGCAAGGGAGACACCGTGGCGACCCACGAGCTCGCGACTCTAGAAGGGCGTCCCTGATGAAAGTGCGTTGTTAATTCAGCGCGATCGCCGCCGAATTCATCGGATTCACCGAAATTCTATCCGCGGGTTTAATTTGGGGAAACAACGAAAATTGAAGTTAGGGTTATTAGATTATACTGGGATCGGAAAAAGAAAATTAGGTGAATTATCGGAATCAGAGAGAGAAAGAGATCGGAAGTAGCTGAAGATTAATTAAATTCTAGTTAGAGGCTGATCGATAATAACATCAGTCACCGATACGAGACATGCGGCGAGTGTATCCACGTTCAACGTCAAAATCATTCACGAATCGTTACCGAAAGGATCAAGCGTGCGAGTTGCAAATCGATCGCGCGAGGAGACCGGGGGGTAAAATCACTGCCGTCTCTTCCTCATCATCTTCATCGAAGCGCATCACCGATAATGCGCTCACATAATCGCGCGCACACGTGCACACACCGACGCGCGTTGATCAGCGTTATATGGAGATCACGAAGGAGAGCATTCGCGAGATCCCGCGTTTCCTCCACGCCCGTCTCCGAGGTCTGGAGGTGAAAAAACAATGCTGCAACGACGACCCGAGCCCCTTTCGCGTCAATCACGACGGAGACTCTTTCCGTGCTCCCGTCCCACCTCCCTCGTCTGTCTTTGTTCCGATGGTCTCATGTCTCTCTTCTTCTTCTCTTCCTTCCTCACCCTTTGCCACCCCTTATCTGCCATGGTTTCGTCCTCCCGCTACCCTCTAGTGAAATTCTTCTGCATGCCTCTACGTCGTCTCGTCTCGCGCGCGCAACACGGTACAATGCAACCCCGGGACGCATTGTGGATCAGTTTCCACCAGACACCCCAGCGACGTCGTCGGCAACACGAGGACTATGCTGTGCGCGACGATACCCAAGCTAACCGACTGCGTTTCGGGAGACGTTCCAACGCGACGACGACGATGGGGATTATAACAGCGCGCCGATACCATCATTCAACCGGTTGGTCTGTCATATCGGGGACGATGTCGTAAAGAGCGGGCTGATACATTATGAAAATGAACGCTGAACACTCGTTGGTAAAGACGTCTCGACGGAGGTACTTTTGGTCGCGTTCTTTTGAGAAATCAGATGAATTTGCACCGAGCCGACGAGGCAAACTTCATCCGATCGAGCTCGGATTCCCGCGTGCAGAAATCCGAAACTTTATGTTCATCGTTGCGAATCTTTTTTCCAAAGACAACGTTATTCTGGACTTCGCGACGAACACGCTTTTTCCTCCCCGTAACATGGTGTTACAACTGTTTCAAGGGAAATTTGTTGTACCGCTCTATTTTCCGCAACGCGTCGGCGCAGAGTTGAAAGCGAGGAGGGAAGCGGCGCTTTTTGCGATCGGTGACAAAAGTGTAGGAAATATAAGAAAAGGAAAGGTACATCTCCGTACCCTCGCCGGCGGCGTTCTTTATCGCGAACTCTTTATAGAAAGCGCGAAGAAAGTGTGATAAACGCGACGTACTACCCTCCCCGTCCACCCCTGACACAAAGGTATCGACATTATCCGGAGAACCGTAGGATGCTGAAGACTTACATAAATAACTCCCTTTGAGGAGCGCGTGTACGTAAGAGAATGCCGAGGCACGACGAAGCGGCGACGAAGAATAGGTTTTAACACGCGTTGCGGCCAATTAATTAATTAAAACGTTGCCGGTCTCGGCTACGCGAGTGAGCACTAGAACCGACGACAAGACATCCCCGAGTTCGATTCCCGATGCTACGAATGCAAAAAGCTAAGTTCTCCGTCGCGAACGGAAATAATTATACATCAAGAATTTAAAATATAACGCCCACGTGTCTCTTCATCTTAAAAACGGTGTTTATTACAGATAATTGACGGAATAAATATTGTTATAACGCACGAAGAGATCGAATATTTCGCGTCGCGCGAAATTCCCAGCGGAATTCTCGAAGAAGGTGTTGAGGTTTTCAGATTTAAGATGCGCGATACGGAGGGCCAGATCGAAAAATCTCACCCCCTCGTCGCGGGTGGAGGGGAGGAAGTGAAGCAGGAACAACCGACGCCTGCAGCTCGCGCGATGATTGCGCCGTAATCTGCTTTCGCTTTGCTTTCCCGAGGGAAAGGTCGGGGGTGGCTGCCGCTGCGTGATTGGCCGGGGGCGTCGTTGGGTCTTCCGTTTCGACCGATACATCGACAACAGTCGAGATACTTAGGGAGGATACGCGGGCGAAATAGAGCTCAAGGAGAAAGAGACGGCAGGGCGAGAGGTAGAGAGGAAGAGAAAGAGAGAGAGAGAGCGCGCGAGATGACGGCGAGAGGAAAGGGTGGCGGCAAGGACGGGGGTGAAACAACCCTCCTGACACGGGTTATCCTATAAACGGTGCCACCCCCGCAGCAACACACCGATAATCCGGCCCCCGGGGCCCGCATGCGGTTGAGCGCTCGCAACAGTTACCATATTTGATTGTGTGCCCCCCTCCCTCTCATTCCTCTTCCACCGCGGGAGTGGTAATACGAAATAATATTCCGTGCGCGCGCGAGGATTTCGCATCCGCGAAAACACGTATTACTTTCTACACGGAGTTGCGTAATGTTGATAACGCTTAGAGGAAGGATCGCTTTCGGTTGTGATGTTAACACAATCAATCAGTTCGGGGAAAAGATGACTGTCTCGCCGAAGGTGATAAGAAAGAACATCTAGAGTTACTGTTTTACAGGAGGATTCTTAAGGACGACGTGAAACTTTTCTCGCGAAAATCATGCAAATCCATCCGTGTGTGAAACCGCGGACAATCGTGGATCTCCTTTTCGCGACCGGCACAGGAAGCAGATTCGCGGGGCGAGAAAGGCGCGTTTTAAATAAAAAAAAGTCAGAAGGGATTGTTTCTCGCTGCGTCTGACGCACCCCGCGTCACACGGAACGTCGCGACGCGGCGCGGTGTCGGCGGGAAAACGCGGGGAAAGAAATCGCGCGTTTGATGTGCCGCCAAAGAGAACGCGAGGGTAAGCAGGGGGGGGATACGCCGTCGGTGGCGGAGTAGTTTCGCATGGGTTGGTCGGCCGACTGCAACCACGTTTCTGCACAACCCTCTCGCTTCCATCCCCTAGCCGCGCTCGTTGCCCTTCTCTGTCTCTCTCTCTCTCTCTCTCTCTCTCTCTCCCTCTCTGTCGTTCGCTCCGTTCCACAGCGCATTTCTCTGTTCCTCCGTGTTTCGAAGGCCGCGCGCTTAAACGTTACCGGAAAATTATTACCGGAAAAGCGTTTCACACACGCATGCGGCAAACCGCGGGACCCACCGACGGAATTACATTGATATTAGTATCGTTTGGGCCGACAGATTAATTAATTAAAACGTGCCCCCTGCCGCTGCCTGTGGCCACTCCGCCACACACGTATTTGCGTTTCGCGCTAACGCTCCGACAAAGAGGGAGAGAGAGAGAGAGAGGGAGAGAACGCCGGAATATCGTGCGCCAACAATTGTCGAAGGCTTTCGTCGTGTGTACAAAAGCGCGAAGTGAAACGCTCTAACGCTGCTCTAACTCCGCAATCTCTTGCGATTCAGTTCAACGCACGAGTCTCGTGTATCTTCTTATCTAACAGCGGTGTTCCGTCGCGATAACTATTGAAAAGTATTCTCTCAAACGGACTTACCTTTCTTCGCATGGAGTATGTCCGCTGGATCCGGCGGCAGGGACGAACAATGGCTCGGACTCAAACTGGACTGTATCGACGAAAACGGGCTACCCGCGCTCGACGGATACCTGAAGTGTATAACGATCGCTTTTTTAGACCGAATTCCGTCGCGTAAGACGAAATACGATTAATGCTAATTTTTAACGGAATTTATTCGGCTCCACAAAGAGGAAAACGGCGAGGTAAACAAAAAATTTCGAAGACGGAAGTTTTCTTTTTTTTCTTTTACCAACAGAAATATACACGCACGAAGAATCTCAAGAGTTCGCTTCGAGAGAGGACTGTGAAGTATCTGCCTCTTCCGAGCAGACTACATATTTCGCAAACAATGTGTGTTCTTACTGCCGTAATAGCGCATTTGCCGATGAATGAATTTTAGCGCTTACCAAGGATTGGGACGCGGCCAGCCGGTGGTCTGCCCGTTTAGTAGCCTGAGTTTATCGTAAACGCTCTCCGCCGGACTGCCGGCACCGACGCCAACCCCCACAGCGCCCACCCCTTGTTGCTGCTGTTGCTGCTGTTGCCTCTGTTCCTTCTGCGCGGCCAGATTCCTCAGTACCCTGTTGATCGAAGACACCTGCAACCCAAACGCGTTCGGCGCCGATAAGCAAGACTCGTTGGTTATCGCTGCAATTACGCAAGAACGCGCCATCTTGCGCGTTTTAATCCTTTAATGATGAGTAAGTTCCGAATGCGATACGCGGGAAGGACGTACGCGAAGACGATTCTTTTCGCATCAAAAATATAAAATATTCATCAACGGTGAACTTGTTGATTACTATTGCCGCTTTAATTTATTACCAAGAGTCAGTCACTGGCCGAGACCACGATGTACATCTGAAGAAAAGGATTGCTTAGGAAATTATGAATCATCCCCGACTCTCGAATGGAGATTCTATTATGAGGTAAAATGAAGCTCGTTTGATCTGCCATTAATGAGATAACGTATTGAATTTTGCGTCTCGACGCTCCTTCGTAATTCTATGAAAGATCTACGTTCAACTCGTCTAATCACACCTCAACCACCGTCGAAATACTTTCTTTCTCGCATCCTTCCCGGAAGATCTCGAGCCGAATAGCTCTCTTTCTCTCCCTCTCCCGGCGGTATCGGATTTATTATAAATACGAAGTGTGCGCGATGAGTGGGAGCGATGAAGATTCTCCGAGAAATAGAGGGTGAGGAAGGCGCGGGGCGCTTCTGCCCGATGAAATGCGACGAGAGCGGTAATTAAAACGATGCGGTGAGCGGCTGCCAGCGCGGCTCGGCGCGACGGTGCGCGCCCGCTACACGAGGGAGTTAATTACCTCCGCCTTCAATTATATCCGTCTCCGCGCTACTCCAAGGGGACTTGGCTTCTGCCGACGTAAGTACGCACTCGCGCTTTCGCGTCGTGTTCGCGACGTGCGGATTAACGCTCTCTCTCTCTCTCTCTCGTTCTACGCTTGCAATCCGAAATCCGCTGTTATAACTCTTAAGTTGCAACCGAAGCGCGCCGATAACACCACGACGATACTGTTGGAATATCAGGATTTTAGCTCAGCTTTCTCAGAAAGCGTAGGTGAACACGTGTCGTACACGTTTGCCTAACAATTAAGCGGAAAGTGACCAACGAGAAACATCCTTCAACCTACTTCCTAATTTCATGCTAATCTCCTTTTACATATTTCTATCTATTTTTCCGTTACCGACGAGTTACTTAGTTCTTGTCCTCATTGATAATTTTGTATTNGGGGGGGGGGGGAGGTAAGAGCAAAATTAAAAGTTGAGATTTCTGCGCGTGACGTGATACGCGAACGATTCGGCTATTTTGCGCGCGACGCGTACAACGCGCGCGAATCGCGAATGCGATGAAATATCTAGACGGGCGCGAAGAAGAATTTACGAGTTTCCCGAGACGGAGGTCGCTCTTTTTATTTTCGTATCCTTTATTTGTCTTCTTCTGCGGGCTGCCTTCGTTGCTTCTGTCACTTACAGCTCGTATAAATCCCGGCGGTGCCGTAAAAGAATTCTCACGAAACTCAAGCGATACGTCCTCCTCCTGCTGCCGATAGTTCTGCAATTTATTCCCTCGCATTCCCTTGCATTATCCCACGCACGACGTAGCGAGCGAACGTCATTTTAAGGGCGCAGTAAAACGTCGAGTCGAAGAAATTCGACCTCACCCCGTCGTTAAGAACATCGAGAACCAAATGAGTTCGTGAAATCGTCTTCGATACTAAACCCGCCTGACCGAGAAGTGGATGTGGCCGATACGAAATATATTCTATCTATTTGAAAGCCACGTTCATTGCACGAGCTGAGTCGATTGTCACGCAAAGTGTTTATTCTCGATCGTAATTCTAATGACAAAATTCTCTAACTTGGAATTTGGAGAGTCGGTCTTACGATTTTCTTGTTAACGCCACCTCGAGTCTAAGTCAGTCGGTAAAGTCCTCGTCATTATATTCAAATTGGAGGGATATTTCGCACAAAGAAATTCGTCGCGGTTATATATTATCACGCGCTACGTATCGAGAGACAGAAGGAGAGAGACACGCGAGAAATCGGTTGACGACGGGATGCTGGATCGGTCATAGGAGATACTCGTTCCCCGGGGTTTGTTAGACCCGGTGTCAGGGTACCACGGCGTTGAAACGGGCTGACATCTCGGACCCACCACCGTAGCGGAGCGTCATCCCCCTCGGCGCCCACGAAGAGACCACCACCATCACCACCACAGTCGCACGATCTCGTCGTGTCTCCGCCGCTGATGCGAAAGAGACGTCACCGGCACTCTCCCCTCGCCTTGTCCTCGACATCCACCGATGTCCAAAACATGCCGCTTCTCGTCGTGCCTCCGAAGATTCAAACCGCCCGACGTTTCGTCAGTGAATTAACGAAGCTCCGCGACGCGCAGAGATGGGGAGAATTCGAAGTAGATCGAACGGCGACGGACGACGAAGATGAGAGTTGGAAAGCGTTTAGGTCGGATGGATCATCGTCTCGAAAAGAAGGCGAAATTTCGGAAATCTCCTCGAGGTCTACTCGATCGTCAAGCTTTTATCTCCTTGGAGTACCGTCGGCAATCCACGGTTGATTTCTGGCACTTTTGGTCTGAAAATTCATCTCACGATCAAAAGAGGGGGGTTGTATTCGCGAGTGCGCTCGACGACGTCGTCATCAGGGTCGTACCTACTTCGACTACTACGCGGAATCCATCGGAATGCGGCGGGAAATCAGCGCTCTTCTCGATTAGACGGAGCGGCACCTCCTCGGGCTTGATTCTATCGGGCTGCGCTTGTGAAGTTGGCCGATGTCAAAGCCGATTCCACAATGAAAAGTCGTTGTCGCGCACAAAGACGGCACTTGGCGACAAAGCCGGAACCCGGACACGGGCGACGGCTGCCTGTCAAAGGACAATCGGCGCCTCGCGTGACATCGAGTGTCCGACGGCTGTTTGACCGTTTTTTGATTGACGTCGACCGCAAATATCGCTGCTCGTCGCTACAAAACCGTTGCGCGAGATCTATTTACGACGTGTGTGTCACCCCCGTCATTATTCTATAACCGGAGATCGTTGCGCCCTGGAAATCGATACCACAATGGGCCCCGCGCTTTTGTGGCCTGCGAGGCAGCCACTTGCGAAACGACCAGGAGCTACACCGTACCGAGGAGACACTTCCTCCTTCGCTCGATCTCACCGAGGCGGAGAGAAAGAATGAAAGCCATATACCTATACAAGCCGGCCGTGCGTTCCTCCGCATTAAATTTTAATGACAGTTTGTTTGCCTTCGGGGTTGGCTTGCTCTTAACGGAAGAGCCGGCGGGTCGATAGCTTCTTTCCCGAAGAGAATTGCTCCAGCAAGGGGGGGAGGGGGGATCGTTTTTCAGATTTTAAGGAAAACGCGAGAAGAAAGATCGAGAATTGCACTAGGCGTTACTCCGAAACGCCGAAGTTCCGCATGGAAAGGATCGGCGGAATAACGCGGAATGAGGACTCCGTCGCGCGTTTTATTAGCTCGTCGTCGACAATGGGGCTCCTCGACACATTTTTGCACGGTTGCACGTCGTGCGATGCGATACGAGAACAGCATAAAAGGAGCGTAGATATTATCCTTTATCCGTGCGGCGCGCGCACAAAGGCGGACACGCGGCGAGGGCTTAAAACACGGCGGGCGCGACAGAGAGAGAGAGAGAGAGGAAGAAGCTGGGGCATCGGATCGATGAAATTAGCATGAAGCGTGAAGAGCTCGAGGGTGGCCGAACACTTAAAGAGGGTGCTGGATAGAGACGTCATAATATTGCTCTCACGTGGCAGCTATGCGATAGTTATCCACGACAGGAAATCTTTCACGACATCGCGGTATTTCCCGGGCAAACTTCGCTTTCCGACAAAAGAGGGAGGCAGAGCTGTTTTATTATGCTCCCTACGTTTTTTCGGGCCGGCCACCACCCCCCGTCCACCTTAATACACAGTCGCTCTCGATTCACTTCGATGATCGGACGGCGAGCAGTCAGTCCAACATCGGCAATGCCGGTATCCTTCTGTTTACGAGGGTAGTGACCTTTGTTTTCTAACATTGCTGCTTTGTACGGCCTTCTCAACCAAGTTCTGGTTGCCACAATCACAACGTTTAAAGTAATTCACTTAACTCGGTCGACAAAAATAAAGTTTCCGTCACAGCTCTCGTCAGAGTTAACGATTTCAGTCACGTTGTCGGCGCGCCGCCCTCTCGCAGTTTGGAAAAATTACCGGGCTCATGGTCGGCCATTTCCGACCGATTGTTTCGTTGAGATTCACGAGTTCCGATTTCGGTGCCGCTCGCTAGAGAATTTTTAATTCATCGCGGAAGAACGCTGTGAGATATTACGAATGGCGCGCAACCCCCCGCGTAATAGCGTGTATATTATCTCTTAACGCGCGCGCGCGGCTGCAATTTTTACGAGTGCTTATTCGCGGTAGTCGCGTATTTCCTGCCCCGGCTCGTTCATATGTATGTATGAGTCGAGGGTGTTAACCGTGAAGCGAGCGGAAGAGCACAGGGGTGCCTCGACTTTCTCTGCTCCTCTCCATTCAGACTACTTCCGTTATCCTGGGGTTCTCCCGAACGAGCGCCATACAGCACAGCTTTATTATCGCGAAAACATCCTGGAGATAATGGCTAGGCCGATTCGACACGCGTAATCAGCAGCACTTCATAAAACTTATTCAAAGGTCGCGCGCACGCTGTTCTCGGAGGCGATATAAACGCAGTTGCGAGCGAGCGTTAGCGTTAAATGCGTTCACGAGGGGTGTGTGACTGCTTTCTCGCATGGAAACGAAAAATGGCCACTTTTCCAGAAGAACGTGAGAAATGATAAATCGTAATGAAACGACTGAGAATGATACTCGACGCATCGAATCGACAGGATGCGATTTTAAGAAGCAGATCATCGGGACACAATTACAGCCGCTATTAATCGACTTTGAGAGAGCGAAGCGCGGACCGATGCTGTGAAATCTACAATCGTCGGGGACTCGCATTGTTCGTGCGTTGTATCTCCGCGTTTCCTCCCTGCTCTTGCACGCGCGCGTGCGTACGTATATGCGCGTTTGG